GGAAATTGCCTCTGAGCATGTAACAAATCACTCTTTCTTTGCTATGAAACCATGATAGCTGGTCCTCTGGCTTTTGAGCTTGAGAGAAGTAGTGCTTCTGGATTGGAATGCAAGTTTGCAATGCTCAAGAAGTTCCATCTCCTTCTTTTCTCTCTTGATAAACAGGAAAATCCATGCTGTGTTGGAGCATAAAATGTCTTTAAAAACCAACATCTCGCTATGAAGGAGCTCTTATTTGAACATGCTGCTAAGGTTGTCAATCACTATTGTTCAACAACTGCTTTCATTGCTTCTTAAAACATTTTCACTTGCAGGAGCAGTGTAAATATAATACGAGTGATCACTTTTAATTAACTCATCCTTTTAGTTATTTACATACTAAACAGCTCTGGAAGATCAATGATTTTCTGTTCCTTGTAAACACATTGGACTAGGGAATTTGGAGATGCCATTCTGAACTGCTTGAGACAGCCTTTCCTCTCATTAACTGCCAATCCATTTGCTATAAGAAGTTGCACTGAAAAGGAATTAGGTCCCCCCCCCCCCTTCTACTGATTTGGATGAAAAATAAGAACCAGTGTGAAAGCCCAGGACTTGGTCCTGTCAGACAGCAAAACTAATCTACCTCATCAAAATGTCTTTTATGTTCGCTTTAGAATGCCAACCGTAGATTAATCAATTCTTTTCTTTCATTCTTCATAGCATTTCATTGCCTGTCATTCTGATGTTTGAAATTAATTCCCATGGCTATGACTGAGAATCTTTAATCCTTATAATTGATGCCCTTTCCACACTCCCATTCTCATCAAGCCTTGTAAAATAGGCCCACTTGACAATAAATTCTGTCAGAACCAAATATGATTTTTAATTACTTAATATAAAATAGCATTTTTACCTAACAAATTCTTCCCTACATCAAAAATTAGTTGCAGGTGTTTGTCCAGGCAAGCATACAGTCTCCTTTCTCTTCCAGGCATCCCAAAGTGTTAACTAGAGAGACAAGAGCTCATCAGTTCATAGGTTTGCTTAATGGGAAGGTGAGGACAATGAAGATTGCAATCTGAAATGAGATATGGGTAGGAGGATTAATGTGAAATGACTCCTATGGTCCAATGATTTTTGGCAGACTTCACAGCTTCTAGCACAGTGCTGAAAGTACAAAGGCTAGTCTCCTCCCTGATATGCTAATTTTGCACCTGCAGAGAGATTGGATGTTGAAAAACTTTCAAAACACCAATCACAACAGGCCTGGTACAGATTGTACTAGTGCCACCACTTCATGTTTAAATCACCTCTTACTTCCACATAAGGGATAGGCCTAAATTTCATTCCTCCACCTAATTTAAGACATTCATTTAGTGTGTAAGTTCTGCAAAGCTACTCCTGCCATGAAATCACCCTACACAGTTCATTATAACCAAGGAATCAAAGAGGTGAGGAAAAACATATAACATTTCCCCCATATCACTTTTTTTTTTAATGTGCTTACTCCAGTTAGAACAAGAATTCTAGCAATACTGAGCACAGACCATCAGGTAAACCTACACTTAGTTCACATCAACAGCGGCAACTTTGAATGAAGGAGAAGCTTAGAAGCAGTCCACAGCTTTAGCGTTGGCTACTGTTTTCCTCCCCTCCTCAAAATAATCTTTATAAATTTTGTGGAAAATTGTGGGTGAGTGGGTCATAATGCCTTGGGGACAACTGGGTTGGAGTGGGGGCATCACTGAGCCACACTTCTAGAATTCTTATCCACCCCTATAGAAAAGAACACACATAATGAGATTCTTTCAGATAACCTTGCTTGTGTTCTGAACACCGACTGTTAAATTATTTATTTTTCTTTATTTAAAGCTATTATATGCATTAGATCCACACACAGAGTACATTTATTTCCCCCTTCAATAGCTGAAACATGTTTTGGGAGACAGTCTGATGCTTTAAATCCACCTAAGCTGCCACGGTGCAGAAAGTGAGAGTAGGAAAGGAACCCTCTTCTTGACAGGTTTCTCAGGCCTGTTGCCCCTCTTAATAGCAGATGATCTCTACTAAGGAATGGTCCATGCAAGATACATATTTACAAAATGCACCAGTTATGAAGTGCACATATGTGTGTATCCTTTTCCTTTAAAACTATTTGTTGTTGTTGTTGGGGGTGGAACTAGGAAAGGATTGGCCTCCACCTTGCACACGTTTGACAATTCTATGATTCTAGGAAAGGAAAAACTTATATAAGTATGCCGGAAAACTTAGCAAATCGTCACAACTTTGTAAGGTTTGGTGGTTAGGCATTGGTTCAATGTGTCTGTGGAGGGGAAATGGTTGGCTGTGCCTGCCCCTCCAGTGCTGCTGCTAGGGTATTCCGTTAAAGGAGTATTTGGGGTGAGCTTGAGTCTGATCCTGGACCATTGCTCCCCCACGATGTTTACCTGTACTGACGATATGGTACAGCCCAGTCGTCAGTGCTGCGCTGCTGAGGTCAGGAGCAGCTAGTCGGGAACCAATGCCTAAACAAACCACTCACTATCTGTAATCAATAAAGTTGTGGCCAAAATTATGCCAATAACCTAAAACTAAATTCCGTGTCAATGGT